TTAGGGTTTTGTTTGGATTTGATGGTCAATAATCTAGGGATCATAGGAGATTGTGATTCAAAAAGATTTTGGGTTCTATTTGGTAACGTGGCCAACTCATAACTGTCTGATATTTTTAGCGCGGCCACTCTTATAGTTAGCCACGTAATCAAATGAACTCTTAATCATGGAATTATGAGTAATTACTCAGGTAATGCATGCATTCCATTAGGAGGGAAATAAAATATAATAACTAGGTCCAATTATTTCTGGTCTCACCTCAACTGATAGAAATAAAGTTTTTTTAAAAAAAAAAAGCGCGTGGAAGCAAGAGGAAAGTGGGTTTTATTTTAATCAAACAACCCTTTAATCTGCTTTGATTTGATCTAAATTAGTATAGAAAAAAGGACTGTTGCTGTTGGTCCGTGATCACTTAACCAGCTGAGAGTCATTAATGAATTGATTAGCCCATGAAAAGTGTCATTAGTGAATATCTTCATTCATCATGCATTGCCTTTCCACGTAATTACCTTAATTATAATATTGCTGAAGAGCATGATACTTTTTCTTTTTTAATTTCTGCTTATATATATATATATGAAATCGAACTGTATTTTCCACGTATTTTCTTTTCTCTGAGACTGTGCCACCTGGTCTGTGTGTTGGATGTGGTCTGTCTTGGTCTTTAGGGATTAGGTCTTGGTCTCACTCTGTATTTTTCAAAGCCGTGTCTCTTGTTCAATAAAGAACCATTTCTCCTGCTTACACGTGGGTTTGGCCTTTCTTTGTTAACTAACTCGATTTTGCTTCTCATCCTTCTTCTTGTTTTCTTTCTACGAACACTTTCGGTTACAATAAGTCAATGGCCATAATTGTTAACAAATATAAATATCATAGGATAAAATTTTATATAAAATTTATTTTTAATATTAATACATTAAAACCATTTAAAAATATAAAAAAATAATTGTACCGCAATACTAAATAGAACTTGTAGTGTTAAATAATCAAGATACAAATCATGCAAAACAAAACAAAAAATTCCTCTTTTTTCCCCCTAGTAACGCCTCCTTTTTGCTTTCTTGATTAAGGAACATAAAAATCTGGTTTTTTGAGTCAGTACTTGGGTGTCTAAAGAGGTTTCTCAATTCGATTAGGTGACAAAGGAGGTTACTTTTGTTTCTTGCCATCATGGTGAACTTAGGGTTTGCATGCTTAGCCTATGATATAACGAACTTTTTTCTTGTTTTTACTTTTTATGGAGGTTATGTCTTGTCCTTGCTTTGGCTGCTTTTTCTGGATAAAATCAACATAGTTATTGCATGTCTCTATCCAATGGCAGGTGAAACTTGTCTCACATAGTATTCACTTTTACAATGATGAGGAAAATATTTATCTCGGAAGTAAACTTCTCTTTAGAGGGGAGGTGAATTTGTGCCCCCCCTCAGGATATGCCGACTACCTACTGTCAAATCGATTTCCCTAAAAAATTTACATTAATTTTATGTTCAATGAAATCCTAAATATCTCAAAAATATTTAGAAAAGCTTATGTATTACTGTAGGATATCGAATGGTCGGTCCACCAAGCCTAGTTACACGTCAAATTAATGTTTTTTGGACTTAAAACACGGTTTGCAACATTGGAAACCGCGTAAATAAGCACTCTTTTTTACTTGGGGATTTTTTGAGTTTATAATTTTATGGAGTCTAATATGTTACATTATCACTTTCACGTAATGAAATAACAGGAGAAAGTATCTACACAATATACGATCTGAAGTCTCCATCAGGAGTCAAATTCAAGAACTCGATACACCTGCACTATCTAGGAATCATCTCCTGTATACGTAATTGAATCCATATAATATAAAGATTGTGTTTGTATTAGGTCATGTTTTGGGATTTGTCCAGCTGCCCTCTTCTGCTTTTATGATGAGAAATCATTCGGTACCGTTTATTAAGTTTTAAAAGGGTTCTCTATGAAGGATCGACAAGAGTAATTCTGGTAACCAACATAAGTAGTTCATATGAATTATCAACTAATTAATTTTGAGCATGTATATGCATGGGAGCTAGCTATCTCTTGGTTTGGTTTGTGAGGCCTGGATGTTTACATGTTAAACAGGATGCATGTCAGAAGAAAGTTTTGAGCCACACTCCAAAACCCACTCCTCATCAGTCATTCTCATCTTGGTATGCTTTGACAATGATAGAAATTAATATATGATTCAAACTTTAATATATAGAGGTAACTGCATGGATGGGTCAATGTCATTATTAATGCCCTTTTGCTCATTTTTTAAAAAAGATTAATCACTTTGTTTATTAATTAGAAGTTTCAATGATATTTTCTCTTTATATTGGTTTTTGATCTAATTGTGGGTACTCGAATGTTTGATATGTTGGTTTCATTGCAGATTCTTTAGATATTAGCTTGCTGAAGAACCCCCGAAGACGCTAACTGAGACAGAATGTAAGTTGATTTTTCCGGTAAACAGATATGTTTAAGAGAAATTTTGCAAAGCTTAACCAGGCCATGGGATTTCAAAGATCTTCCAACAGGCAAAAGGTGCAGCCTGGTATTAGTGATCTCTCTTCAAATGAGAGAGCACCAAATTCATGTCATCCTGTAATCAATGGAGCTGTTTCTGATGATGCAAATAACAGTTCATGGATGGTGAGTTCAATTTCACCAGTATTTTCCATTGCATTAAAGTCAAACTTGCTTCTAATTTCCAGCAAGCATCTGACCACGATATATATACCAAACTATTAGGTGGACCATCCTTCAGCATTGACCTCATTTGATCAGATGATGAAAGATGCAAAGGGGAAGAAGATCGTCGTGTTTCTAGACTACGATGGGACTCTCTCGCCGATTGTAAATGATCCCGATCGTGCTTTCATGTCTGATGAGGTAATCACTAATGCTAATGCATGTAAATGAGGAGAAACTTTTCCGAAACATGATGACGCAACGTTTTCTCTCTCGTATCTGAGTTAAATCCACAAGTATAAGAGACCCATGTTGAATGTATTGAACAGTTACATGAAAATAATGCGGACTATAAAATTGTTGTTAAAGCATTAAACCCTCAATGTGCAGATGCGTGCAGCAGTTCGTGAAGTTGCGACATACTTTCCAACAGCTATAATCAGTGGTAGAAGCAGAGATAAGGTAACTACATAGGAAGATTTTTTTGCTTGCTTTTAGCAATCTTTCTATATATTAGATTTTTGGTGCAATTTATGAGGCAAAGTTTGATAATGTGTTCATGGTGTCCTCTCGGCAGGTGAAAGGATTTGTTCAGTTGAATAACATATATTATGCTGGAAGCCATGGGATGGACATTATGGCACCACCTAGGCCTGTTAGGTCTAGTGATGGGAAATATCATACTGTATCCCTTGACAGAAAGGTAAATATGAGTAGTCCATTTTTCCTGTTTTTTGGTCTGGAGACACGTTCTTTGCAAAGAAGCATGAGAATGAGTTAACGAAGAAGACAGGGGGGGATGCTCAATCGTAGTAGAACGGTTTTCGAAAAGAAGAACGGACATTCGCTTAATTCCCTCATAACTGATCACATGCTTTGTTCCCTTTGGCAGGGCAATGAAGCTGTCTTTCAACCTGCTCAGAAATTCTTGCCTTCAATTCAAAAGGTAGGTCGGCTTCTTTATTTGTGAACATCCATTTTAGTCTTAGCAGACACCAATTCCAACTCATGGTCATATAGTGACAAATTCTGTGTGTTTGTAACAGATTCTGAAAGAACTGGAAGAGGCAATTATGAAAATACAAGGTGCCAGTGTAGAAAACAATAGATTCTGTGTCTCTGTACATTTTCGACAAGTTCGAGATGAGGTAAAAATAAAGCCCTAAGCCCAAATCTTTTAGTTCTGTTTCATTCCAGCATCGCCATCACCACAAACTATCTATATAAAGCATGACATTATGAGTTAATTTGCATGGGAAGAAAGGATTTTGAAATACAAGGATTGTTTTCGTATCGAATCCAGGATTATGGGATCTTAGAGGAGAAGGTGAAGTCTATTCTGAAACACTATCCAGACTTTCGTTTGGGTTGGGGTAAGAAGGTACGCACAAGTGTCCTTAACATTCTATCAATCTCTAAATGTCTGTAACTGATTAACATGATTGTCGTCTAATGTTTCTGTGATTCTACATGAAGGTTATGGAAATACGACCATCAATAGAATGGGACAAAGGCAACGCCCTGGAATATTTGCTCGATACTCTAGGGTTAGGCAACTGCACCGATGTTCTCCCAGTCTATATCGGAGATGACCGGACAGATGAGGATGCTTTCAAGGTACTGTTCAAGGAAACGGTTGCTTTAGTTCAGAATTCCTGCTACAAGATCAAGTTGCTTAACCAGTCTCCCTTTGTTTTCACTCTTGCAGGTGATTCAAAAGAGAGGCCAAGGGTATCCAATCGTGGTAGCGTCCAGTCCGAAGGATACGAAAGCTTCCCACTCCCTCCATGACCCGTCCGAAGTCTTGACTTTCTTGCTACGTCTAGCAAGGTGGAGGAAGGCCTCTAGTTCGAGCAGGTCTCTGTCTCAGATCTGGGGTGTAGGTAGCTAAAAGTTGAGACAGTCCTGTGCGGAGAGGAATTTTGTATGGAAATAGATGTGTGTTTATACATACAGTGAGGAAAGCCAGGAGCCATTTTATTTGTTGTTTTGTATAGTAGTATCATATGCTCACGGCTTGTAAATTAGCCAACATAAATAAAGAAAAATGTTTGTGAATGACTGCATCCTGACTCACCCAGATTGTATCAAAACCCAGTAGTTTACTTCACCACATTAATGTCGAAAAATCTTTTAACTGTTTTAAAATTTCTGGCCAAAACCCCCTAATGATTTTTATTATTTGAAAGACTTGTCAAAAAATATTTTCTTAAAAACTATTTGAGCCTGAAACTTTACACAAACAAGACTGGGTGGACTATGCTCAAAAATAAATAAATAAATAAAGGGAATGGGAGGAGCAAAAATAAATCAGAGGAGAAATTACCGTTTCAAGATTAGAATCTGAATCTCATACAACTCAAGATGCCCAACGTTGACAATTAAACGCCAATGGCTTCCAATAGTTGGCTGGGCATATTGGTTTGAACCCTTCTCTAAGATAACTGCCACTAAAAAAGATCCAACTTCGATATTCTCCTGTCTAATCATTTTTTTAACACTGTTTCATGTAAAAACCTAATGGGTGTTGAAACCCATGGTTTGTATTGAAGAAACTAAAGCACAACCTGTACTTCTCATCTATTCCTCCGAGTCTCGTCTCTCAGGAACCATTAGGGGGGCACTCGGAACAATAATCCTCTTGACCTTCTCACCTTTTCAATTTGCCATCTACCACAGCGTGCACTCCCTCCTTCCTTGCATTTCTTCATCACGTCTTTCAGATCTTCATGAAAATGGGTATAGTCGGTATCTATCCTTTCTGTAAAGCATGTGCAGCAGGCATGCTGGTATAAGACATTGTAAACCAGCGACCAAAAGTTCAACCTTCCCCTGAGAGGGGCAAACTGAGGGGCAGGGTGAAGTGAGGCTTACCCGTGTAGTTCCTCTTCATCCCACCCACTTCGTCTGCCTGGTTCAGATATGCAAGAGGAAAATCTGGTTTCTGTGAATGAATCATTCTTTGGCATGCTGATCTAGCCACGTAATCAAACCCTCCTGAGAAGATAAGTACATCAACCATATCAAACGCTACTCTGATGAAATATGCAACAGGCAATTAACGTGTGTAAATCAAAAAAATTCAAGGTACAAATGAAAATGGCAATTCAAGTAGCTTGGCAAGAATGCTATCCAGCTGAATAGTTCCCCAAACATGCTTGACCATAAATTTTATAATCTCCAAAATAAGTTTGTCCTTGTGTCAACCAGTAATAATGAGCGGCATCCTATCAAGCACATTTCCACCCAAGCTACTTGAATAAACTCGTATGGCCTCAGTAGGGGCAATCCACTTTTCAAGACACAACTTCATAAAACAACTCGGAAGCTCTTTCTAGAAACCTCTTAAAACTTTATAGCACACATTGAATAGGCCATCTATGACAAGAGGAAGAGAAAATACCTGTGAACCCGGGGTGAGGATGGCTGATCTGGAGAAGAAAGATCAGAATCTCTTCGGGTATCTTGTTGCTCATTAATGCCTCTTGATGAATCTTCACGAAGATGTGGTGATGCCTTATCAGCTGTGAAACGAGCTGGTCCTGCAAATTCTAGATGCTGATCAGGAGAATTGTAGCCTGCATTTTGGTCATATGGATAAAGCATAACTACAGATGCAGAAACTCCACTAGTAGTCACAACTGGTACTGGTGGATACATGCCATATGCCGCATTGGTAGAAACACGGTCCGTGGAGTTCGAGAACCTAAATGAATTGCGGGGATGGTATCGTGGAAGAGGATCTTGCTTTGAGTTCCATGACCTGTCAGAACGGCGATTATTTGCTGTACTCCTATCCATCCTAAAGGATGACTTCTCCCCCTGGTTCTGACTTTGACCACGAGCACCAGATCGTGGTCTTGGGTTGTTGTTCCAATTTCCTTCCCTTTCATCATGGTGGTCCTTCCGGTCATAGTTGTAATTTCCCCCATGATTTCTAGTATTGGAAGATTGTCGATCCCTGAAAGATAATTTCTGAAGACAGAAAAAAAAACTTTACAATAAACCACAATCCCCTCCAAACATGAAAAATAAAAAGGAAAGGTCGATCAACATCAAACCAAAACATGAAGAGTCACAAATTCAATTAAAACCAGTATCGAGATACAAATTACAAGAGGTCTTATCAGTTCAGAGGCAGCACAATATGGCTCAAAGCGAGTCATTTATCAAAATATTACAGCTTCACTGAGCCGCTTCTACAGAGTTATCTACAACTATATTGCCATTCTCATACTTCTAAGAGGGCATATCTAATACTTATTTTGCATCACCCGGAAGAGCATGCAATGTATATATGAGCTAAGATGACCTTGGATAGTCTGCAAGTTTATGAAATTTTTCTTTCTAGTGACCCAAGTATCAACTGAAATCATAGACAAATCAAGAACGAACTAATCACCCTTAGCCAAGAATTCAAGAAATCCCAACTCCTATCCTCCAGAAAGCCCTCTTTTCAGAACCTCTAGAGTTAACCTGTTGATAGAAAGAGATCACCACGGCATTACAGAACACATGTTTACATTTCAACCCAGGACCTATTTTCCTCCTTGCATCAGATCATAAGGATACCCTCCTAAACAGAGACAATCCTTGGTTTAAAAGAATGAGGTAAAGCTTAAATTTTAACATTATCTATTGGAAAGAAAAAAAACCTTTCGCCTCCATTAAATGGCATCCATTATAAGCCACATAAGAAAAATATCTTTAGCAATTGAAACTTGCTGCAAAACGAAGAAAATACAACTACGCGAATATACTAGTAGCACATACAATGGAATCAAACTTTCATGAGATATAATAGAACAATAACCATGGCAACAATTCTTGCTGATATCCTGGTCCTCAAGTTACATAGAGAAATGAAAGATGTCAAGCATAGTTCTTTACCAAAAGAATTTATTGGGGGAAAGATGTCAATTTACCGGATTGGGCAGGTAAGTTCCAGTTCCACTACGGTATCTAGGAAGATCATCTGCATAATGTTGATAAAAGCTCGTCTGCCTACTAGATCCTGGCTGGACAGGAGATACAGGGATAAGATGAGGACCATTCATATGTTGAGTGAAGAGATTCATGTTTGCAGGTCTTCCAGGACCATCCCACGGGAAATGTCCCTGGAAGTACATCGGTGGTACCACAACAGGATATGGAATGGGCAAGGAATCTTTATTTGGAGCATATTGGCAAAGCCGCCCATACTGTAGATTATTCCAGTGGCTTGCAAAATCACTATTCAAAATGTCAGATCTGCTCTGTTCAGAATGCACTAAGGAAGAAGCATTATTCACAGATGTAAAAGTATTTAAATTCTCTGACTGGTCAACATTCTCAGATGAATCTAAAATTTGATTCGAGTGATTATTTTGAGAATTGTTGAATTCTTCGTCCCTATCAGATTTTCTGGTGGATACAATTGAGGTTCCTGCTTCAGTTGGAAGGTTGTAAGATGGAAACGTAGTTAGAAAAGGCACCGGTGGTCCTGCAGGATAAAATGCAACAGGTAGTGCTCCATGGTTAATGTTAGTTCTCTGATGCGATTCGGGACCCACAAACATTGGAGCAACTGGAAGCATTGAATTTGATCTACTCATTGATGATGGATCATAACTAGGTATTTGATGATTCCAAACATGTGAAGAAGCACCAACACCAGAAACCACGCTTTCTGACAGTTCAGTGCCTGAGGTTGACAGCCGAACCAACTCTCTGTCATCATCATCCGGCTGAGAAGATATGTGATTAGCTGATTCATCTCCATGCTGCCTTTCATTCTTATCCATCCCATATGCAATAGGTGGATCTGTAGAAGGAAAAGATTTCTTTCCCTGCTGACCCTTCATTGACTTATGAGTCCTCAAAAGTGACCCATCACCATTATCTTCAGATTTGCTTCCTGAGGAGGATGCTTGTGAAACGGGTACAATTCTTAAACTGGCCAATGAATAAGCATCAGACTCCCTATGTATTTGATATTCAGCACCCTCACTGTAATTTTCCCTAATCAGATCTCTGTCTTCTGTAATTAATTCATGATCCCTTGGTGAGAAACTGCCGGAGGTACTTACATGGGTTGAATGGACATGGCTAGACTCAACAGAAGCAAAAGGTTGCCTATGCTCCTGCAATCGAGATTGGGAGCTTCTGTTCTGTTGATTTCTTACAGAATCTGCAACTGGCTTAGACCAAAAACCATGATCGCTCACCTCTTGCCTAAACTCTGTAGATGCCAATTTAGCATCAACCTTTTCAATCATCACTTCTTGATCCAAGGTCATTCCAATGCTTGGAAAATAGTGGGAAAATGGATATGGAATAAAACTTGGATGATAATGCATGTTCGGCACCCAAGGGGACTCAAAAGGAGGAGCATTTATGGGAACTGTACCAGTCATTTGTTTTTGACCATATCCAAGATTAGCAGGTGGTATTGCAAAAGGCAGTTGACCAGAAGCTAAATTCACAGGCATCTGACCCTGTTCGTTGACACTATAACCACTGAAAGATGCCATGTTAACACGATCTTGCTCTTCCTGATGCAACTGCATTGTTTCAGAAAGAGAAAGGTGGTCTTCCGTGGTTCCTTCACCAGAATCACCAAAATAGCTATTTGAAGCACTAGTAGAATCAACAGCAACATCAATGCTCTGATGGGATAGGCTATGCCTTGAAGATAGTGAGTCGTCAGTTGAAAATCTTGCACCATGGTTCTCCAAAACCTCAGGAACCAAATTTCTCCTCCTACTATTTTGTGACCTCATAGAAGCAGTCTGGCCATTTACTGTCTCTGATGCCTTGTTACGCCTCCCTCGAGAAGGGACTTCACTGGATGTAACAATTAGTTCAGGACTGGATTGAGTCGTTGCGAACTGATATCGAGAATGCCCTTCATTCCCCAAGTACTCTGTTCTGGAACTTGTTGTCTTTTCATTATGTGCATTCTCATTCAAACTATTGGATCTTAAATTTTGATTATTATGATCCGAGTCTGTGGAGTTAGTCAAGTTGGCCTGCATCCTCTGGCCTAGATTTCCAGATATAGCTGATATCTCACCAGATGTGGATGTTAGTTTTAAAATGTGGTTGCCATGCTTGGAGGAAACACCATCAGATACATGAGCAGCATGAATCACCCCAACCTTAGATTGATGACCAGAAGGATCCTCTTTTGTCTTTTTGCTGCTTGAGTAATTTCTAAAAGTCTCAGAACCATCAATTATATTTGACTTGATTGGCCATTGAACAATGTGATCGGGACTTGGAGCATCAGGGCGATGACCTTTACAATGCCTATCCCAGGTATTCATGAAAAACTGGTTGAATTCAGCAAGTAGATTCTCTTTTGGACAGTCAAGTAATCTGGCCAGACGCTGAGCTCCAAAAGCAAAAGCACTACGAATCCTATAGAAGTTACCTAGCAAAACAATGAGGAATTAAGCAATTAGACAACACTATAAATGAAAAAAGGAACATAAATAAAAGATGCAATCCCTATCTGATATTTCCAAGATCACATTTAACAAGAGAAGCATGTGACAACCACTGAAACTGCCTCAGTCCTCAAAACATAGGAACAAAACATAAATCATTGCTGAGAGACCATTAAGAAAGCACTCCTGCTGACAAACAGCAGGCATGTTTTTATTCAAACCAACTCAACCAGGCCTCAGTTATGTGACTTCATCATATCAAAAGCATAGTGTGTGTTTGTGTGAGTGTCTGACTGCAGGGATATCAAATAAGCACATACATTCATGCATGTATGCATAAATGCAAACAACTTGCTAACTCAACATTAATGTGAAAGTTATTCCAGCTTTAGTTTGGAGCAATACCCTTACTGACACTACGGCCAAGATTGTTATTTGTACGCAAAGGATCAATGACATTAAAATATTTGGAAACGAAGGATTGCTCCTGATTTTCCTGCTGGCTAGGAAAGACAGCATACACCGAGCTGCACACTTCTAGAAACAATTGGCTGAGGAGTAACTGTCCACCATCTTCGCGCGGAGAGAGAGCTGTAACATCTCAGAAAGTGAATTCAGAAACAGCCATTGCAATACAACTACTAGCAGAAACATCACTAAAAGCACTGGTTCTTAAAATATCATTCACAGGATGCACACTTACCAGTCACATTAGGAAGTGAATTAATTGGAACTGGGCCCCATAGACTAATGCAAAAGTTTTCCCAGTCAAATTTACTGAAAAACTCCAGAAAGCGATAAAGTACCTGCAGATACAATGAAAAGATTTTCAGGTTAAAAAGCCAAATGCATTGAAAAAATGCAAATTTAAGAGAAACAGCAACTTCACCTCAAGTGGCCCAGCAAATCTATTATTGAACACATGGAATATGTACAAAACCAATGTCTCTAGAGCATAAGTTGAAATAAGGCCATGGTGAGCACCCAAAATACGGCTCTCGTAATAACACCAAGCTTTAATCAATATAATGCTGCGCTTGAATAGATGGTTTTGGCTTATCAGTTGGTCAACCTTGAAAGTGAGAGTTGTCATTAGTGAAAGCCAAAAGAGATAAAGAGAGAGATGCACTCGGAAAATCACAAAAATAAATTTGGAATCTCTGTCCCGGAGTTAAATATTTCACCTCCTCGAGGAAGCAAAGGGTACACAAACCACCAAGCTGGTTAAAGGATATGTCTACTACAATATTTTCCACAAGACACTTTATGATCTTCACCTGCAAGATGATGGAAGCTACAATCATGAATATTTGGAAAGTGCTAACTCGTACTTCAAGAGTGGAAGGGAAGACTACGTCATCAGTATTGTAACAAAACAACCAAAGAGTAAGTTATATATGAGTAGGATACAAGCAAAAGAACATTAGAGTTAATTAATCAATTAAAAGGAATGAAGCATGCGACACAAATTACCCACACAAACACAGTTGAATAAGCCAGAGTTTAGTGGAGCCACATGAGTAAATCAAGAGTAGAAAATGTCCAACAACAAGAACAGGAAAAACAAAATGAGCACTAGAAAATTGTCCTTTTTGTCCTCTTTATTTTCCCTCACTGCATGGTTGATGTTCTTTTCAATCATCACTGCAACTTCATTTCTTGATTTCCATATGGCAGAGAAGAAGCATGACATTCTGCAGAACAGCCCAGAAGACTAGGTATCCTAAGCCCTCTAAAGCAGATATTAACCAGTTTCAGACTCACAACATGATTATTTCAGTCCAAACCATTTTTCAGGTGGTAACATGGCAGTAAATGTAAATCAAGTAAAATAGAGAGAAACATCTCTATGAGGAAAGAAGCATCAAGGATATACTGAAAGAACATACCTCTGCTTGGATATACTGAACCTCTTTTACATGAAATTCAGCATTCTCACTCTTCTCCTCGTGCTGTAAAATATCCTTCACCTCATCAGCCCAGGTTTTCTTCAAATCCTGGCTCTCAGTAAACACTGTTATATCGATATCTCCATCAGGCAGATAGGTCTTGAGGGGCACAGACCCAAAGGTGAACACCTATGATTATAAAATGCAATGAAGCAGGAAAACCATTTCAACTTAATGCAAACCATTTCAACTTAATGCAGGTAACACATGCAAAGTTTATAGAAGACCTAGTGTTAAAACAAAGTTAACCAGTCAACTTCTTCAGCATTTAGTGACTTACCAACTAGCACGAGCTATGGTGCACCACCTTATTAGCCTATATATTTATTGGTTGTAACCCCCACTTTTAAAGGATGTTCTTACAGTGAATGGAATTCAGATTTCAACCTTCAAGGTTAGGATGCGCTGCCAAAGAAATCCTAGGAGTGTTTTCTCGGTTTATTTTTCTTTTAACTTACTTGATCGTTAGTTCCTTATTTGCTTCGTTTTCTAAAGCACAACCTTAAGCTAAACACATCCCAATCCCTCCCATAGCCTATTTCTCTATGTCCTAACGCACCAAATCTACTATAACTAGCAAACCATAGTATTTAGGTGCTGTAATAAACATTCCACATCACAATTTCACTCATTAGAACTAATTGGAAGAAAAAATTTTGACACGATATTCTCTAGATGTCTGGCATCATTAAGCAAACTCAACACATATCCACCACAGGCTACATGTGGAAATTTCAAAATAACGTTGCAGGGTGTACGCTAGTAATGGAGATATCTTGCACAGAAAATTATTAGATGTCCTTTTTCTCATCTTTGTTTTCCCTCACTATGCGGTCAATGATCTTTTCAATCATCCCTGCAACTTCATTTCTTGATTTCCGTATGAAAGAGAAGAAAGTATGACATTCAGCAGAACAGCCTGGAAGACTGGGTAACCTAAGCCCTCTAAAGCAACAATTAATCAGTTTCAAACTCACATAAGTTAGTTATCCAGTTTTCCCTGCCCTCTTATAAGTTTTACATCGATAAAACATCGAAGTAAGTGGCATGACTCTCACTGTCTCACCTGGTAATTCATAGTCATGATTGCTTGGTTTTTACAAAATGACTAAAACTATGACAACCTCCATCCTAAAAACACTAAACCAATCTAAAAGCCAACATTTAACAGCATTCAATAAAATTAAGATGTAACTAAATATAAACAAATAAGGAAAATTATCCAAACCTGACAGGGGAAGCATTTCATTATAAGGCGCTGAACATAGCCTAAAACAGCAGTTCGGCGCTCCTCAGATGGTTGATTGGGCTGAATACAAGCAATAAGTTCTGCAGTTCTCTCCTCAGCAACTGCCCATCTCTCTAGCTCAAGTGCTCGAGTGACGGAGTTGGCTTCATTAGGCAAGAGACCATTAGGGGAAAAGACACTAGGCAGGACCGAGTCCTCTGGACCACCCATGCAATACTTACCCTTTGCAATCCCAATCTGTATGAATTACCTTCTCCTTTAGGCATCATTTAAGAGAATGCATATCTATAAGCATATCTCAAAATATTAGGCAAAGAGCGGAAGCAAATTAATTCTATTTTATTGAAAAGATCACCACCACAACTATCAGCCTTATAATCAGTACGAGATAAGATTCCAGAACACTTACTATCCGTTCCTACGGGTATAAATATCAGGACAGAGCACACAAACACACATGTAGGATGGGGACTATTAACAAGTTAAGACCCAACACATATAACCAAGAAAGGAAAATTATACAGGCCAACATATTGTACGCATATATACATATGTACATGCAATTAACAACCTTCAGTTGGCAATAAACCCAGAGGAAGACAGTTAAAAAAATTGCCAAAGCTAAACATATAGAGTCCACCTTTTGGATTTTGGCAGGTAACTAAAGAACTATTATGCATGTATACATATGTACACACAATTAACAACCTTCAGTTGGCAATAAACCCAGAGGAAGAAAGTTAAAAAAAAAATGCCAAAGGTAAACATAAGGAGTCCACCTTTTGGATTTTGGCAGGTAAGTAAAGTACTAAGATAAAAAGTACTAGCCCAAAATCACTAAATTCTTTGCCAAGTTTGACAAACGATCAATTCTTGACAGATTCAAGATAACATCAATTCACTTATTGATATTAAGAATAACACCAGGCCCAGCTCCTGTGTAAAACAAACAATGCAACTTGAATTATACATTCTAACATTCCTTTTCTTAACATTGCCATTGATTGGGTTTGAACCTAAAATCCTCTGCCATCCAAAGGACATCCGGTTAGACATACATACACACCACTAACTTCAATGTAACCACCAAAGAACCTAGACATAAGCAATGCAAGATTATTGAAAAACAACGTATCCGGCTCATATTTCACAGCAAAGTCACCAAATTAGAACCGGAATGCATTAACTCAAGCATACAATTCTCTTTAAAGCATGAAAAAAAATGTTTCCATATGTAAATCTAAACGTCGAATGCAGCATCAAAAACACCCACAACCACATACAAATCCAAAGATCTCATTACCAAATTTGTTCACATTGGCACACGTGCGCGCGCGCATTTATACTCTTTTTGGTTATCAACCAGAATGCAGGTAAATCACCACTAACAACCACTACAAAATGCAACTGTTAGGCTCACCAAACAAGCTCTGCTAAAGAAAATCAAGAAAGAAAGAAAAACGAAAACGAAAACCACAATTCCTCCTCTTTAGCTTAACAAAAAGAAACCCTAACCTGAATTTCACACAATAAAATCAAGCAAAATAACAGATAAGAGCTCAAAATCAATAAGAAAAAAACACTTCGCCGATTAAAAACGAGCAACAAGTGGAAGTAACGAAAGCTAACAAGAAGTGAAATTCGAAGAAAAACTCACTCGATCATGCAAATTTAACCAAGTAAGAAAATAACCGTATTCTGCGATTCCACGGCTGCTGCAATGGAAATGTATAGAGAGAAATGACGAGAGAGAGAGAAGGGGTTAGGGTTTTAGCGAGCGAGCGGGGGAGAGAGAAATCCTGATTTGGGATATTTTACAGTAGGAGGAGGACAGAGCAGAGTTAGAGGAATAATTTACTTTCTATTTGTTGATTATTATAAATTGGAAGGCAGAGGAAATAATGGTGTGCGTGCGTTTTTGTTGCTGCTCTGGTGGTTGTTGGCTTGAGTGTGCTTCATCGCATAGTTGGAGGACATAGCTCGAGATTTGCATAAATTATAAAATATAAACTCGGATTATTAGGTTATCAAACAATTCTAAAAATAAAGTTTTTTTTTTAATAAAATGAGTTTTTTTTCGCAAGCTTTTTTTATGAAAGAAAATTGAAGGTGGCCTTATAACACTTCGGTTTTATTGAGATTAATTTAATTAAAAATTTTAATTTAACTAAAAATATTTAAAAATATTTTTTTAAAATATTGATACAATAATATATCCAATCTAGATCATGAAATCTTTGATGATGTCATAAAAAATAAATTTAAAAAATTATTAAGTTTAATTTTTAATTAATTTAATTTAATTTTTTTATTATTTAAAAATTATTCTAAAATTGCGTATAAACTACATACACACACATTAACAAAACACAAATTTATTTTCCCGTAGCCCCACTGCTACTCTTTTCATTGCATCCCTTTGAATGTGCTGAAGCCCACGAGCCTTTGCAGCCTCCCAAATCACACGAACCAAGAGGTGTGATTGGGTGGGCAGCTGGTGCTTACCTACCAAGCTACCTCCTCCTCGGAAAATTTCCCTTTTCGTTTTACGGCTACAATGCGAGAACACTATTGTTATTTTAAAATAATTAAAATATATTAAAATAATATTTTTAATATTTTAAAATAATTATTTTTACTATTAAAATAATCTAAAAATATTAAAACAAATTTTTTTAAAAAAATTAAAAATATTTTTACATAGAAAAAACAAACCATGCTTAATTTTCACTAGTATTTCTTAATGGATTGATTTTATTTCAATATGATGAAGCAAAAGATGTCGAAGCCACCACAAGTTAAGAAAAATGATATTTTATTTTTTTATTATTAAAACTGATATCTAGATCCTATAAATCTAAAATTAATGATTAGGTAAACTTTCAACAATTTTAGAATTTATAAAATTTAAAACAATGATATCTATAAAGTAAATTTAAAGCTTGATCAATTAAATTATACTTTTAAAAAATAGCATTTTATATCAAGGCCTAAACACTGTATTGGTTGCATATTTTATCATAGGAGAAGTCATATGAAATGAGTGTATGAAAATTTTTAAGAGAATTAATGGATTTCTTGCAAATTTATTATGGTGACCAAGCTTGCTTGGAGCACCACCTCTTGTTTAGGTTTTGAGCTTCGGAGATTATAGCGTTTTGGAAGGTATAGGGCCTTAACTGTTTTTTCAATGGACTCTAAGGTCATCACCGCATTATTTTGGTTATAAATCATCGTCTCCCTTTTAAACATAAGCTAAATGATCAAGAATTATTTTAAACTTTGAATCAAATTGAGCTTAGCTTTACAATTATTATTTTTTTGAACATTTTGAATTATTTTTTAACAAATAAAGCTTTTTCATTAATTTTAATAGCAAGCAGTCTAGAAACATTACATGTGTCATGAGAATACATAATTAAAAAAATTTTAAAAATCACAACAAAGAGATGCGAACTTGGAAAGAAAAACCTTTTTTAAGATGTTAGTGAAAAAAAAAAATCAGTGATTGATTTATGTACTGTTTTGGCAATGCAATTCACCATGGATTGCACTTGTGCTTTTGATGGAGAAGGGGTGTTGAAAGTATATTAATAATTATTTTTAAAAATATTTTTTATTGAAAAATATATTAAAATAATATTTTATATTTTATAAATTATTTTTAATATTAACACATCAAAATAATTTAAAAAAATATTAATTTAAAATAAAAATATTTATTTTTTACATAAAAAACAAATAGGTTTGAATTCTAGTTGTACTGCATTATAGTACTGTTTGGATAACCAATCTAGGGTTTGATGACGATGCATTCCATTATATATACATATATATATATATATGAGTTTTTATTTTTCTCAATATTCTTTTTTAAGTTTTTGAGTTACCATAATTGAGTTGATTTTATTCCTAAATATAATATGCTTGGTTTCTAATATGTCATTAGAGTAATATTATTTTGAGGCAATTGATCTGAATTAGTCATGTGATTTGCAATTGATAAACACGACTTAAAAACTTAACATATAGTTAAAAATAAATCTATTATCATGTGTAAAATAACATGACTGATTCTGGTAGACTAAGCTAAAAATCTCACCTAAAGAATAAATTAATTAGCTTAATTAAAGATATAAAAATAAATTGAATAAATACCATAATATACACTACCACGAGGAGGAGGATGACTTGTATTTGCAGCAAACTTGCCTACCAAGAAAATTTTATTGAAAACTTACCAACAAATTTTTACAAGGTCTGCAATCCTATCTGGATTTTAATATTTCATATACTTGCAATAATCAGTATTATTGAAATTATTAAACTTATAACAATTGCTAACGTTCATATTCCCCAGGAAGGAAAAAGGAAAAAGATACGATCCGTGTATGATTCATGATATCTCACTTTTAATTAAATGGTTGTGTTTACCGTGGTTTCTGTTGTTTTTTTAAATTATTTTTATTTTTAAAAATATTAAAATGATATTTATTTTATTTTAAAAAATTATTTTTAATATCAGTATATTAAAATATTCTAAAAAATAAAAATAATAATATTTAAAAAATATATAATTTCAATTGTATTCTTAAACAATTCTAAATAATAACACGAGAACTATATATTATATAGTGCCCTAAAATATCTCACTGCCGATTAACCATCTCTTAATCAAGGTTTTGTGTCAAATGCGGTGACTCGCAATAGCACTACATCGCATTTTAATTTTTAATTTCAGGTGGTCGATCTACACCAATATTCGCACCATGATAAAGATTTTCCGATGATTATTAAATTAATGACAATATAGTATGAATAATAAGCACATTAATTAAGTGGATGCTGCCTTTTGATGGGTTTATTATTAGATTAATGGTTATATCAAGCTGCTAATGACACCTATAAAATTCGGGCTAGGATAATTGGTTGAGCAATTAATTCATGAAATATATAAATCTCTTTGAATATACATTTTGGTGTATTCCCCAGCATGAAAGAGCTCATTTGTCTATCTGTAAACAAATAATAAAGGACAATAATATGCTTTAAATTAATTACGAATGCTACACAATGTGTGGATCTCCACTCAATTAATTTTATTATTTTAGGTAAATACTCCCATAATTGCTGTCCTTGTTTAAATTAAAATATAATTTATCATCTATTGCATGCATAGGTTAAGTGCTCTCTTACACCGGTGTGATTTGCGGGTGACTTGAATTCATGTTAAAAGAAACAAAAAAAAAAAAAAAACTCTTCATGTTAAAAGAAACAAAAAAAAAAAAACTTGGCGATGAGTTACTTCATTGACGTGTGCTTGAGCCTTGGGGAGAACCATTTCATTTTATTCACATTAATTATTTCGAGGTAGAACAATTAAGAAGAAAGTCATTAAATTGATCATTAATTAAACAAAGAAACCAGTTGTTCGGTTGGTTAATACAATTAATACAGTGAACTTGAATAAATTTCATTGTTAATGTTACTGGTATTAAAATAAAATAAAAAACTAATGTAGCGGTGAATTCACTGTTCATCTAAATACATTGTATCATGAACAAAAACAATGAATTTACTATCTTACCCTAAAAAAATATGAGCTAATAGCATGGAGGTATGGTCTTCTTTTTAATTTGATCATTTTAATATTTTGAAATTGATCAAAATAAAACAAAAATTTTACTTTCTTTTTTAACAATAAAATTACTTTTTTGGGCAATAAAACACAAGAACAATTGAAAAAGCTTTATGTTTTAGGAAAATAAAAATTTATTTCTTTTATATTTTTAACTCTTTAACCAAACATATTTTTACCATTAAAAATATAAAAATTTATTTATTTTATATCTTTAACTCTTTAACCAAACATATTTTTACCATTATGGGATACTAATTCAACGCTATTTTAAATAGTGTTTCGTTACTATTTTTTAACAAGAGAGATGAAGACAGTAAATACATGTTTTCATGTACTTCTTGTTTAGCATGTGTGGAAATATATTTTAAAAATTTATTTATTTTATATTTTTATTACTGTTTCTTTAATCAAATATATTTTTATTTCTTTTGTATTTGAATTTTTAAAAAAACATTGATCACATAACCTTAAACATGTCAATTGCGTTTAATAATTTGATAAACTCCTCACTATATTAAATGTATCTAATGAATTTAAACTTTCCCAACTCTTAAGCTTCTCGGCTATTCTTAAAATTCCTTTTAAGGTAAAATTAAAGTGGTATGAATCAGGTGCCGAGCTTAATAAGTTAATATAAGTTAATATTATTTTTTTATTAGAAATTTAACTTTTTAATTTAGTTAGAGTTTAAGATTTCCATGTTTATAATTTTAAAAGATTAAATTATGGTTGTATTTTCAGCTGAATTTATTAAATCTAGTTAATCTGATATATTATTACTTTAATATTTTAAAAAAATATTCCATCCATCATTTAATATATATTATTTTTTTTACTTTCTAATATCTTAATATTTAAAAAAAAAACCTGATAAAAATAAACCAGCCTGTGGCTTGGCACGGCAAAATAGCTAATCTCCCCGCTAGGTGGCAACATAGCCACACGCAGGCTGTTAGGCTACAAAACGTAGAGTGACCCAGAAGATCGACCTATGGTTAATCCAACGGCTACCACGTACCTTCCTGCTTAAGAAACCAGTTAATTGCAGGACTCCTTTGCTCATCAATAATGGAGGGTTCAACAAGATGCATACGGTTCCTCCAGGCATGACACGTGTCTTAAAGTAGTCAATTTCCTTTAATTGTGCTCGTCAATGGATTCCATGAACGTGGCTGAAAAGGTTCGCCCATCGAATTTAAAGCGTGAAAAGGGCCAGAATCTATGAATGTGGCTGCATGCATGCATGCACGCAGGCACAAGTTGGTTTTCTGATAATTTCTTCGCGAAGCAGAATCCAGCAATATGTCTGGTCTTTATATAGCTGTAGAAGA